AATTCGAACCCCCAAATCGAAATCCTAACCCTAACTCGAAACCCCACAAACATAGAGAGAATCAGTGATAGTCTTAGAGAGAAAATCGCGACAGAGAATCATGAGAGAGAGGGTTGGCTGTGTGACTGTGTGTGGTGGAGGGAAGGTGAAGGGTCGGAGACTGTATGGTCGTGAGGTGTGGTGGTGGCCGGAGTAGAGAAAGTTTTTCGGAAGAATTCGAGTGAGACTGTAGGAGGGTGTGTTGGTGGCTGCTGAAGTTCTAATTTGAGAAGGAGAGACTCAAAGAGAGTTTGAGAAAAAGGTTGTCCAAATGAAATGAGACAGAGAGTGGGTAGGGCTGGAGAGACCCCTAACAAAGAATGGGCGACCCAGATTGTTTTGAAACAATCCAATGGTTGCAAACTTGCAATTATTCTAAATATAATTAAATATATATATATATATATATATATATATATATATATATATATATTGTTTTTTGGGGTTTTCGGGATTCCCAAACTTAGAATGAGCAATCCCGAATCCCATACCAAATGATTCGGGATCGGTTCAGGATTTTAGGAATCGGTTTGGGAATTTTCGGTTTGGGATTAAGATTTTTTCGGTTTGGTTCAGGATTTGCAATCGACTCTGACTAAAAACTTTTGATTTAATAAATCATCTTGAAATTTACTAATGCATAATACTATAGATAATATTTCTTTTTTATTAGTACTATAATTACTTTGTGCTGGATTCCATACTCTTGAATGGAAACGAACAATTTATTCATCAGATTCGGAATAAGTTGATTGTTTGAGAATACCTCCGTAACCAAATTCAAAGGCATCAGTTTCAACAATTTTGAATGAATTAAAAGTTGGAATGCCAAGACATGTCAATATCTTAACATGTGACTTGATCTATTTGACTATGGAAGTATGAATATTGGACCATGGTGAAGGATTTTTTTTTAGACGATCAAACAAAGGTTTCTATCACATCCCGGCCCGGGACGGACCACTTCCCAGGCCTGCTCCACCATCGTAGCACGATATTGTCCACTTTAGACTTACCATTCCTTCACGGTTTTGTTTTTAGGAACTCACGAGCAACTTCCCAGTGGGTTACCCATCCTGGGAGTGCTATGGCCTCCTTCTCGCTTAACTTTGGAGTTCCTACGGAACCCGAAGCCAGTGAACTCCCAAAATGCCTCGTGCTAGGTAGGGATGGGAATATACATTTAAGAATTACTTCCTTGGGCGATGTGGGATGTTACAATCCACCTCCCTTAGGGGCCCAACGTCCTCGTCGGCACACTTCCGGCCAGGGATTGGCTCTGATACCATTTGTCACATCCCGGCCCGGGACAGACCACTTCTCGGGCTCGCTCCACCACCGTAGCATGATATTATCCGCTTTGGGCTTACCATTCCCTCACGGTTTTGTTTTTAGGAACTCATGAGCAACTTCCCAGTGGGTCACCCATCCTAGGAGTGCTTTGGCCTCCTTCTCGCTTAACATCGGAGTTTCTACAGAACCCGAAGCCAGTGAGCTCCCAAAAGGCCTTGTGCTAGGTAGGGATTGAAATATACATTTAAGGATCACTCTCTTGGGCGATGTGGGATGTTACATTTCATTGTTGCCTAAGATATGGATAAAATTCTGCAACATAATTTAAAGATTTTAGAAATCTTTGTAATTGAGTTTTGTCGGTGATTTCATCTAGGAACTTATCCGCAAACTGAATTACTCTATCTATTGGTTGAATGGTTGACTGGTGGATATTGTATCCCAAAAACATAAGTCAAGAAGTAATCTTCTCAAAATTCGACATGAAGTCTGGATTTGGACAGATTCAAATTCATGAGGATGATAAATACAAAACAGCATTTGTCACTCTTTTTTGTCATTATGAATGGAATGTAACATTATTCGGTCTTAAGAATGCACCTAGTGAGTTTCAGAACATTATGAATGAAATATTTAATCAAGGAGAAATTAGGTTAACATCCTTCTTTTTGATACTCCATTGATTAAAATTTTATTCATTTTCAATTTTTGATCAAGGTCCTTGGGTATTAATAACATCATTAATTATTTGAATAATAAAATATTTATTTTTAAATATATTCCTTTAGTGTTAAAAAATGTTAAAATTAGTATATTTATATTTATGGCTAAATTTTTTTATCATACATTATTATTTTTAGTTTGTACCAATTTTCTTTTCATTTTTAATTTGTACCCATATATTAGTTTCTTTTTGTGCCCATATTTTTTGAAGTTTTATTTGTGTTTGTACCCATGTGTACACTGTCATGTAACATTGTATATTTAATCAATGACAGAAAAATTACATATGGTATATTTATGTTTTATGCCTAAACTTTGTATCATATATTTATATTTTTAGTTTGTACCCACTTTTAATTTGCAATTTTTTTTTTAATTTTGTAGTATTTTCTTTTTAGTTTTATTTTGTACCCATGTATTAATTTCTTTTTAACACCTATATTTTTTAAAAATTCATTCGTACTCATAATTTTTTAATCTTTTATCTGCACCCTAATTTATTTATAATGTACCCATTCTTCTTTATTATTGAACCACTTTGTTATATGTGAAATGTACCAATTTTTCTGTAAAACGTACCATTTTTTTAACACTATGGATACATTCTTTTGCCATTTATTATTTCTTATTTTTACATAGTTTTTATCCATTTATTCAATCAAAATGTTTGAATTTTTTTTATTGTAACCATTTCTAATAGTATTATAATGAGGGATTTTAAATTTATAGGATTATAAATCTCATAAAATATCAAACAATTAATGTCAAAACTATAAAAATATAAATATTAATTGTAATATAATGAGGTGTACAAAGTCAAGGGACTTTGATCAAACTTTGAATACCATTAAGGTTTTAGTGAAAGAATGTTAAGGATTAGGGACCACATCCCTTTAATCAATATAGTCATTTATCAATCGTTTACATCGACGATGTTCTCATTTATTCCAAATCGATAGATGAGCACTGAAAACACTTAAATATGTTTGCTAGGATAATTAAGTCAACTTGATTAGTTGTCTCAACACCCAAAATTAAGTTATTGAACCTGAGTCTCTTAATTAAATCTCTTTTGTTAGGAATTGGATATCATATCCATTCCAAGACTTCATTAAGAGTTTTATAATTAAGGGATACTTTGGATGCTGTCCCTAATCTTTAACATTCTTTGACTAAAACCTTAATGGTATTCAAAGTTTGATCAAAGTCCCTTGTACACCTCATTATATTACAATTAATATTTATATTTTTAGGGGTGTGCTATCCACACACCCCATTTTACTTCTCACACACCCCTTGATAATTTATGTCCGTTAATCTTCTTCAATTCATTCGATCCGACAACCAAAAATTAAAAAGGTGTGTGAGAAGTAAAATGGGGTGTGTGGATATCACACCCCTATTTTTATAGTTTTGACATTAATTGTTTGATATTTTATGAGATTTATAATCCTATAAATTTAAAATCCCTCATTATAATATTATTCGAAACAGTTACAATAAAAAAATTCAAATACTTTGATTGAATAAATGGATAAAAACTATGTAAAAATAAGAAATAATAAATGGCAAAAGAATGTATCCATAGTGTTAAAAAAAATTGGTACATTTTACAAAAAAATTGGTACATTTCACATATAACAAAGTGGTACATTAATAAAGAAGAATGGGTACATTATAAATAAATTAGGGTACAGATAAAAGATTAAAAAATTATGAGTACAAATGAATTTTTAAAAAATATAGGCGCTAAAAGAAATTAATACATGGGTACAAAATAAAACTAAAAATAAATATACTACAAATTTAAAAAAAAAATGTTGCAAATTAAAAGTGGGTACAAACTAAAAATATAAATATATGATACAAAGTTTAGGCATAAAACATAAATATACCATATGTAATTTTTCTATTATTGATTAAATATACAATGTCACGTGACGGTATACACATGGGTACAAACACAAATAAAACTTGAAAAAATATGGGCACAAAAATAAACTAATATATGGGTACAAATTAAAAATGAAAAAAAAAATAGGTACAAACTAAAAATAAAAATATATGATACAAAATTTAGCCATAAATATAAATATACTAATTGTAACATTTTTTTTTGAACAAATCGATATTATCTACACTAAGGGGAGGGGGTGTCGCTTTTGGCGAGAGTTGAACCTAAGACCTCTCACTAATCAGTGAGGAGGAATACCACTAGACCGTAGTACTAGTGGCTAATTGTAACATTTTTAACACTAAAGGAATATATTTAAAAATAAAAATATTTTATTATTCAAATAATTAATGATGTTATTAATACCAAAGGACCTTGATCAAAAATTGAAAATGAATAGAATTTTAATCAATGAAGTAGCAAAAAGAGTGATGTGAACCTAATTTCTCCTATAATTAATGACTAACCTAGGTGTTCCCCTTTCTAATTCAACGCTTTTCTGGACATAGAAAGCAGGGCAAGACCAAGGTGATTTACTCTTTCTGATGATTCTTTTATTGAGAAGTTCTTAAATTTCTATTTTGCAGAATTCCATAACTTCTTGACTCATTTGAATTGGCCTAGCTTTCGTTGGTATTTTCTTCTCATCAAACTCCTTATTGTAGGGAAGTTTAACAAGGTACTGTTTTCTGTGCTAAAAAGTGTTGGGAATGTCAGAACAAATTTCATTAACTAGTTTCTGGAGGATCCAAAAACAGCCGGGTCCATAAATAGATCGGCCCTTGTCACCGTAGCCACAACTTCCCCTGTTCTCTCTCTCGCCACCAATTCATTATTTTAGTAATATTTAATTTGGGTCGTCACCAACTGACGAAACTGGCGAAGGGTCTTGCTAGTGAAGTCGCGAGGCAGTCCACAAAGGGCGGAGAAATGGATCTGGTTGAGGGAGTACTGAAGGTGGAAGGAATTATCGTAAACAAATTTAGCTTTATTTTGGAAAGAAATATTTGATTCCAAACAGAGCCGTCTTCCCAGAGTCTAAAATTCAATTCCGAATGGTTTAGGAATTCGATTACTAATATTAGTAACCGCTGGAATGCTTTGAGAGGCGTGCAATTCCGTTTCTTTCCTCTTATCCCGTTTGGAAAACACGCCATTAAAACAGAACATGTTCTCCTACGTGCTTTCTATACATCCAAAGGGCAGACCAGCTAATTTCAATTACGAAACCCCTTCCCTTCCTACATAATAAGGTCACAAACGAAAGTTGGTGAACATAAAACTACATCCAATCAAAAGCAACACGAATGGACATTCATTCAGCCTTCACAAAGTGGCGCGAAAGCAGCTTCCCAATTTCCAGAAAGCCCACTTTTTCCCTCCCTTCAAAAATCCCCTTTAGTTTGTCATCACAGTAAATCTCCCTCTTGTTGGCAGGATTCTGCAGGCACAAAAGCAGACGTATTTGAGTACTATTTTACTCAACTCAACTTCACATCTCAATTGCATGTATTTTACTCTTTCGTGGTTAATAACGCACAGCACGTACAAAATTCAATTGAAAACAAGCATTCCATAAACACGTTAGGATCCACACCCCCGCTGCACTTTCCTAAACTACCCTAGAATTAAGTAGCAGTCACAAATTTGGTGTATACAAAGCATACGGTTTCAATATGTGACAATTTCCCAGACCAACTAGTTTGATACACAAACCCAACCCACAGACATGTAAGGGCACAACTCATTTGAATTTCATGGACAGAAATTCCAAGTATTAAGGCCACAAGGCCACACAGTCTCGTGCCATCTGCATCTAGGTGCTCACGTCAAAAGAAACAAGCAACAATGTAAGTCCAAAACATAACGCTTAAAAAGTCTTCCAACCCTTTCAGTAATTGCCAAGGCTTACATTGTTGCATGTTTCTTCGTATTGGCTATGCTAATTGACATGTAGCATTGTCTCAATACACAGACTAGAGATTGGGTCTTCAATCATCAAGTTTTACTTGTATAAAAACACATTTCAAGACCAATGGAAGCAAGTATGGCATTACTTATGACTGCAAACACTTCTTTAGACAAGACACAGAAGATCTTGGGGGCCAGAAGTTCATATAGCATAACTTTCTTCATCTGCCCAAAGAAATACTTATGTCGATAAAAGAAGACCTTGCATAACACCTCTTAGCTGTAATAGCTACTCACTGGCCATCCTAGTTAAAAAACTATAAATCACGATCCATAATCACATTAGAAAGTTATATTATAGCATCCCTGCAACTTTTTGGGAAACTACGGAATTACAAACAGCAGAGATATCTCAAAGTATTAAAGTTTCCCAAATTGCAAACAGCAGAGACATCTCAAAGTATTAAAGTAAGCATGAATCTATATCTCAACACTGAAGCCAAATGCATTCTGAATAAGATTGTGATGCCAGGCTGATGAAAAATGCTAAACATGAAATGGAATCCAAGCAACAAATGAGAACCAAGAATTATCCAAATTGCACATAAAAAAAACCAATATTATGTCAACATATGCTTAAAATCGTGTAAATTTGACGCCTGAACATGATGACCATACACATAAGATGCATGCAGCAGATGCCAAGGAAGGTGAGACACAACACAAGTAGGACAGTTAATACAAAAATCACAAACTGGAGATATTTAGTACTTCATCTTGGAACATTGGATACCCAATTCACACCAACCAAATTCAAATGCAACCACTAGATACTACCACATGGCCATCAAATAGAAGTAATAACAGAAATGCAGAGCAGCATCTCTTGGGGTTTAATTGACTTCGGAGAAAAAAAAACTCATATTCGAATCTTCAAAACCTGACTAACGACGCGTTGTTTAAACTCCGCATTCGGCCAAGTAAAATCTTTAGGATACAACAAATATATTTCGTTCTTAGAAAAAACAACAGACCTAGAGAAAAATCATCCAAAAGTGCCTAGATATCTCATTTTCTGCACCCCACAACAGCTAGTTCCTATTTTACTATTTTTTATTTTTATTTTTTTGGGGGGATTTAGGGCTTAGGGTTTAGGGTTTTAGAGCTTTGAGACTTTTTTTCCCAGCTAAAATCTTCTAATTTACAAAGTAAATTTAAGCAAAACCCACCTAAATAAAACAAAAAACAAAGCATTTTATTAGAACCCATCAAAAAGAACCCCCCCCCCCCCCAAAAAAAAAGGATCAAACAGTTAGAAGATATTTATAAATATATAGACAAAATACAGTGTGAAGCCGAGAGAGACGAGGACCTGCAGATTGTGGAGCTTGATGTGGGCCCAGATCTGCTTGACAGCTTCGGCGCGGGAGGACTCCTTGACGCCGAGGAAGCTACCCAGAGCTGGAGAGATCGGAGTCGGCTTCATAATCCCGAGGGTGGCTTTGGGCTTGGTCGAATCACCTGCTTCCTTGGGCTTAGCCTTCGCCTTTGGCTTCGGAACAGCACTGGTGGCGGCCTTCGAGGAAAAGAGAGCAGCTCCGCCGGTGGAACTGGAGGATCTGGTCGCCGCCATGATAGCCCTGGAAACCCTAATCAAACTGGAAGACGCCATTGCTCTCTCTCTTTCACACGAGTGACAGCGACACCCTTTGATCTCTGTGCCCTAATTACTCAGAAGACCCACTTTTTGCCTATTTTCAAACGCTTCTTCTCTCCCTCTCTTCCTCCATACTATAAAAGCCCTCTGTTTTATTTCAGAGTGTAAGGGAAGGGATCCTATTTTTTAACAAGTATGGGGATTTTTTTTTTAACAAATAATATTATTTACGTTAAGAAAAAATATAGGTTTAGTTTTATAATGAGCTAATAATAATATGATTCAAATTTGTTTATGATAAAAATTAAACTTAAGATCTTTTACTTACAAATACATAGGAATATCGTTAAACTGTACTATTAAGTGGCAACATATGGGGATAGGTTGTGGGCTCTACACACATTAAACTTCTTTATTTCATAAATTATTTTTGCAAAATATTAGTCAAATTAAAAATATGGCTTATTATATTAATACCCCATAAATTGTTGAATAAACCTCACATATTTAATACACCTCACATTTTCTTTTTCACTTAAAAATTATTTTAATACATCCCACATACTTTCCCATAATACCCCCACACCCCACATTCTCAATATACATCTTATATTTTGTACATACACCCCATATTTCTCAAATCTTATAACACTTATTTTTTATTTTCAGGGACTGAATCTAACTATTTGAACGTTTAGTTTGCCAAAAGATTTCAGGTCATTTGAATGTTTAGTTTGCCGAATGATTTGAAATCATCTTAGTATAGTTTGCATTGACAGTTGTCTACCATCGTTAAGTAGGATAACATCAGTAATGGCTTCATTGCTGGATTTTTAAGAACAGGATCATCTTTAATTACCATACGTGTCGTACAACAAGCTCTCTGTGGGAAGAATTATGTAGCCAATGTAGTTTAAATCAAGCTTTCTTGCAGGTTCCCCATATTATGCCCCACTAGTTCCAAGAGGAATCACTTGGATCAACACAGAGTCAGGTCTCATGAACAAAAATTGTGTCATGGTAGCACCATGAACCCCTATCACGACATCACTCAAATTAAGAACCCAATAAATCTTTGCCAACTCGGTGCTCGAATCAGGTCTAAGAACTTCAACTTCAAACCCAATTTTCTCAGACATTTCCACCAACAAGTCCTCATTGGTTTTGCTCTTGATCCATTTCTAGATACGATCACCAGTTTAGGCCTCTCCATTCGTCAAAAACAATTTTTCTCAATCAACATGTTTGTAGTTTCATTGGTTAGGGTTTTGTTCAACAATGGAGGGTGAGAGGGTTTTGACAGTTGAGAAGATAAATAATACGCTAAAAGTGATTTAGGGTGTATTTAGAAATTTTTTATTTTTTTTAAACTTAATAAGGTCAAAATTGTCATTGCATAGTGGGGTAAATAAGTCATTTAATATTAAATTTTAATGTGGGGTGCATTCAACATTTTGTGGGGTGTTAATATAAAAAGCCAAAAATATTTGAGGCATCTGATTGAGTTTAAAGAAATTAACAAGTACTATATTCTAAGAAACATTGAGCGATTTGGATAATTAAAGTTTGATATAGAGTGAGTCGCAACCAATTTATATTTTTTGAAAAAAAAATTAATGTCGTGCTAGTTGGTATCCATGTTTAAAATTTATTCGATAAGGTCAATATTTTTATAAAAATATCCAAAAAATCAAAGAAAAATATGAAAATGGGGAGTGAAGTCTAAACTTCACCTTATATTGGAGAAACTAAGTTTAGTCTAAAATTGATAGATATCGTTGATATTTCTGGCACATCTGTTAAATATCAGATAAATTATTATATTTCGTTCAAACCAATATTTGATAATTCCTAAACTTTTATTTTAAATTTCCATCATTTTTATAGAAAGCAACTGGTCAATATTTGATATATTTATCAACATTTTCACAAATTTATATATCGATATTTTAGACACTAATTGGAATATAGCGTAGGCTCAAACACTTTGGCTTTCTTATAAAGTTGTACTTTTTATTTTTTTGGTGAAACACATTTTTTTGTCTCTGTGCTTCGACTAAAAAACACATTTGGTTGCCGTGGTTTAGTTTTCCGACTTTGGTCTTTATGGACCTGACTGGTTGCTTCTTTTAAGCTCTCATATAATAAGAAATAGACCAAAAAATAGTTGGAAGAGATTAGCGATGCTTTTCATAAACATTAAACGACGTGTGAGAACATTATAACTCTGTGGATGTAGCCATTGTATGTTGAGACACAAGCGTCAATAACCATAAGTATCTAAACAAGGCGTAAATTTTCTTAACAAAAAAAATATCTAACGTTTGCCTCAATCAATTCTAGGTTTTTTCTTTCTTTTATCATGGTATATTATAATCAATTTTTATACCTATTGAGTTTGGAGCATTAGAGGGAGTTAAGTAGCATAATTGTCGTTTAATACTACAATATAGTAATATTCTTCATCACTTGTAAGTGAAATGTTTTAGGTTCAATTCTCGTCAAAGATAAATTTGAACCACATTATTACTAGTTTATTGTGAGACTTAGCCCACTTCCTCACCTCTTAGTGTAAATAATATTGTTTGTTAAAAAAACAGAAAGAAAAAAAGCATAACTAACTGTCTGCTAGTTTGGAGCATTAGAGGGAGTTAGGTAACATTCTGCACACCTTTAGTATGTCATATAGCAATATCAATATGGTCTTTATTTTCAATAAATTAGTAATAAATAACTCTTAAAGTGACAAAACCTTAAATCAATGGTCTCTGTCAAATAATGGCAAAGGCAACCTTCAATATTTTGAAGATTACTTAACTGACCCAACAACGCTAGACCAATGTCACGTGAATTAACAATCGTCATATAAAAATATATGAGTTTTTTTTTTTTTTTTTTTTAAAGTAAGTGTCTTTTTAGGTATGAAGATCGGAAAATGGTTGGATCGGGATCAACATGGAGCCCATGTTAAGCAAAAGCATAGGCCTACTTAGATAGAAAAATACTTGTTTTGTTTTTTCCAAGAGAAATGCTAAGAGAACTCTCTCAAAGTGAGACTTTTCATAAAGTTTGCGTCATTTCATAATTTAACGTTAATTTTCGTGTTAATATTTTAAAACATTATGCCAAAAACATGAGATAATATAAAGTTTACAGAGAGCCACACTTTTAAGAGAGTCTCCTTAATGTTTATCTTTTCTCAATGTTTAACACATAGTGTCCCAAAAATTCTTCCATTATAAATTCTAGGTGTGGTGGTTTGTGACCTTGTGGAGTCGACTTCTTCTCTCATGTTGGGGAGATGAAGTCAAGCACAAGCCTTTCTCTTTTCATCTATTTGAAGTTGGAAAAAAAAAAAAAAAACAAAACTTAAGAGGTTACTATAAAGTAGAACAGATAAATAATGACAAAAAATTCAAACCTAAGAATCCTTGTTTTTTTCCTTTGATCAAAATAAGCATAAATGAAAGCTTGAAAGAATAAAAATATTTCTATTGGGATTTCTTGGGGATTATGATTGCTGCTGAGCTAACTATAATGCAAAGTCGTATCTTTTTTGTTCATAAGATCCAAAAGATTGGGGACGGACTGTAAATTCATTGCCAGTATGTCTACGCTGGTTCAAAAATCAACTCGGACCAATAATTTGCCTATCCGCCATGAAATGATGTAATATAACCTATTTGTTCATAGTGAAACTTTCATCAAACAACCAGTCTTCGCGAGCAATTTATTTTCTCAAAGCTAGTCCAACCCAATTTTCTCAAAAACTTTAATACAATTCAAACTCAGCTCTTGAAAGTTGTACTAAACATGCCATAGTCAAACTTTGGCTTTATGGGTAACGGTATACTTGTCAACTACTAGAATTACACATGCCACTACTAAACCGATAATCTAAAATACTGAATGAGAAACGCTTAATATTACAACTTTTTTCTCAACTCTTATGGCACATGACGTGCACGCATCATTGCATCAGAGTACCAACTATAGTACGAAATCCAATGCGACAATGTAATTTATTCTAGAAAAGAAATTGAGAAGCAAAGATTATCTCTTTTGAGTTAAGCAACAACAAAATTTAAACAAGTTAAAAAATAATATTAAGTTACCAAATTTATCCGAGATATATTTATCGAATCATGTGTCAGTCAATAATTTTCATATTGATTATTAATTAAATTGAAAAACAATTCAAATTTGAATATAAAACATCGACACGTTATAGAACAATAGAATTTTTAATTAACAGGTTTGGAATTAAATGGTAGAAATTGAAATTGATAAGAAAATAAAAGGCGGGATGGAGGGGGAAAAATGAAAGAAAAGGAAAACGAAGAGGAGAGAGAAACAGAGAAAGACGAGAGGAGAGAGATAAAAAAGGGTAGGAAAAACGCTTGAAAAGGAAGTGGCAGTCAGGTTTACATATTTGGGGGGAATAGGGGCTCAACACTCTAGAGAGAGAAACAAGAGAGAGAAAATCCTTTGAAATTCCATCACTGTATAGTAGCTAGCACAAATGAGAACCAAGGTAGGAAGAAGGGAGATTTGGGACAACAATTGGAAGGAGTCAATGCCTGCTGCCGGTGCGCTTCTTGTTCGAGACGCCGGCAACAACAACCCCGACGGCCCTTTTGCTCTTCTTCACCAACAGCAAGCTTCTGCCGCCGCTCATGAGCAAGAGCATCTGGAGGAACCTCAGGCTACCGAAGAAGCTGACGATGGCGACGGAGACGGCGAAGCTGAAGAGGACGGTGATGATGAGGGTGGTGGCGAAGGCGACGGTGCGGCTGGTGGTGATGACGAAAATAGAGAGCGTAACAAGCTTGATGACGGCTTCTACGAAATCGAAGCGATTCGCCGGAAACGGGTTCGGAAGGTACTCCTCTCTGCTCCCAAATTTTTTTTGTTTTTACAATTTTTTTTATACTAATTTGTTACCAATTGAACTTTGCCAGTGAGAAATGATTTGGGTAATTTTCATTCGGCTGTTTAATTTGAGTTGTGGTAAGAAATGATGGGTGTTTGTGTTTGCTTACTTATTTAATCTGATTACTGAGTGCTTTGTGTTTTCATTTGTGTATGTTGCAAAACCATGATATAGGGTCAGCTCCAGTACCTCATCAAATGGTGCGTAAACCTCCTTCGTATCCTCTTTTTTGTTGTTGTTTAACTTAATTT